TATTCCTATTTTTATTAGCATTTTTAAAAAGATAAAAAGATGACAGAAAGGCATTTTATATTCAAATTTTAAGAGTAAAATATATTCATGGAGGCTAAAAGTTTCCATGAAACCTCAGAAAAAAAGACCAGGAATTTGAAACATCAGAGGCTCCTCTAGTTTTGGGTTAGCAGTAAGCTTTTTTAAATATTCAGTCTGTCTACTGTGAAAGCAAATATCTACTGTTGTACTTCATGAGGCAGAAACCAATACAGATGAATTATTGCTGGCTGTTTTCCCACAGGCATTTTTCATCTAAGTGGTGGAGCTGACTGTGAATATGATGGCCCTGGTCTGGGACTGGATGTCACTTTTTCTCCATCACTAGTGCCTACTTTTCTCCTACTGCATGTGGATATGCTTGTTCCTGGAAAGCCATGCATTAGTTCAGGGAGAAAGGGGAGTTTTATGTGCAAGCTGGCAGATAACTCACATGACAGATCCAGACATTAAAGTAAGTGGTAATTTTTTGTTACTATCTCAAACTTCACATGAGATGCCTTAATATGTATTTGAAAGTGTTATTATACTTAAGCTGCTTTAAGAGTAAATCTCTGGGGAATTTGCCTTTTCCTTTATCAGCATATGATAAAGCTTTACTTCAGCAAGTAAACCTGAAGGTAGTGAAGGCTGGAGTCTCATCCCATCAGTGCCTACAGCCCCCAGGGACTGCAGTAAAGGGCAAATTACATGGTTAGTGGTGTTCTTTTCTTTTTCTGGGCTCAGAGAGACTGTGGCTGAAGGATACAAAGAGATTTAAACAGCTTATGCTGGTTTAGGTGCCTGGAGCCAGTGCTAAGGGGGTCATTTACATTTTTCAAAGTCCCTGCTAAGCTATAGCTCACTGTGGTAGGCACTGAAAAGTCTTTATTTCCATGGCTGGTCACAGGAAATACCACTACCTGGGTTTAGTAATGCTGACTACAGCAGAAGGGGTGAAGCAGAAGCTTTCTTTCTGTGTTACTTGTCCACAGGAAATCACACTCTGTAGCATGTTTTCAGCTTTGTCATACCACAGAAACTCAAAGTTTCTGTTTTTTATTTCCAGCTAGGCAAACTCACTACATGAGCAGCTGGCCTATGGTAGAATGACTAAAGGACTTTAACCTGTCTTGCCAGAAGAGTGCAATAGTTTGTAGAAAATAGTTATCTGGCTGGTGTATGCATTCACAACATTGAAAACAAGGTGTTTTATTCAGTGTCCAGACACTTCGGGTGCCACTAAGGAGATAAATTACCATTTCATCTTTTTTTTCATGACCCATGATTTAATGCAAAAAGCCCATACCAGCCTTCCCTAGCTACACTTGCCATGAGACAGCCTCTCACTAGAGTTTCTGCAGTTTTAGTTTTAGGCATTTATAAATTATTTTCCACATTCTAGCAAAATTAATTGCTGGAGAAAAATAGCAAAAGTCAGTCTGCAAAGGTTAGTGCAACGCAGACTTGAAACAACTCCTTATTTGCATCCAGAATCTAATTCTAAAAGTCATTTTTACCCAACTAGAATAGAAAAATAACATCAAATGGCTTATATGTCATTGCCACAAAGTGACAACAATCAACAAATGTGTGCATCAAATTATTCATCAATAACAGAAGCACTGTCAATTCGTTGGCTAAAAAATTCCTAATAATCTAGAGAAAAAAAACCATTTTTTTATATGGAATAAATGCAGAGAAGAAACTAGGGTTTTTTTATTTCTATCATAGCTGTTTTCCTTCATATCCTTGATGGATATATGTGTGTGTGTGTGTATGTGTGTGTGTGTGTATCACATAGTAGTTTTGGATATTAAGCTTACAATTCAGGATTAATTTCTTACCTAAAGAAAAATAATGAGGATATTCCACTGGTTGTTTTGCTGTTTTTTAAAACATATCCAGAGAAGCAGTTCCAGCAGGCAATTATTTGACAAGTTACTTGAATTGTTAGTGATTAGTAGAAAAAGATCACTTATTCTCAAATGCATACAAAACTTTACATTTTGTGAGTTACTCCACATGACTTTAAAGAAAAAGAAATTAAAAATCCTTGTCTTTATATAACATGCAAAGTGAGGTCATTGATTAAAAATTATTGAGAAACCAATGGTAAAGATCTTGTAGAAAAGCAATCCTTGCCTAGGATTCATGTGGTGTCTTTTGACAAGTGGTTCAAATTAGGAGTCAACAGTTGGAACACCTAAAAATTACCATCAAAAGTCCTCAGTAAACACAACTTTACATCATGGATGTTTTTAACCTCCTGACTCTTATCTGTTTGTGTTCTTTAAAGCAATGTCAGGGTCAGAGATGGAGATTGGTACATGAGTTGTAGTATTACATCAAACAGAGCCTACATAAACATATACACTGCCTTCACTTCATTGATGTCCCATGACCTATACAAAAACATTACCTTGTTGATCGATACTGCCCTAAATTAACATAATCTGCTCTAACATATGTCCATTACATTTATATAAGTGAAATATGAAGGGACTGATTTTTATGGGTCTACTTTTTTTTACAGAAAAACATCTACTCACAAAGGAAGCTTTAGCAGACTTGAAGGTTTCCTTAGTTTGGTTGCACAAAAGATAACAAGTGAAAAAAAGGCTGAGGCATCATTTCAAGTTAACCTGCAGTCATAAAGGAAACAAAACAAAAAAATCTTCAAAATGTTTTATAATCTGTGGAGAAGGGTGTTGTTTATCTTTTGTTTGTATAACTGGGTAAACTGCAAAAATCTGACTTCTAAAAGGCAGCAAATTTTTAGGAATTGCCTGGGCAGTTCAAATACTGCCAACTGCCTGACAAGAAGGAAAAATATGCCAAAGACCTGAAAATATGATGGTACTTGGGAAGACTGAGAATGAAACTAATGGAAGTTTTGTTATGTAGGCGTGCATGTCAGACAAGGACTCTGTTCTTGCATTAAGTGTCTTTGGTTACCTAAAAATGATGATGATGAGTTAAAAAATCCTTTTTAAGAAATGTTTCACGTGTATCATTAAAAGCAATTTCAGTTCACCTCGGGTTTCTTAGACAGAAGAACTGCAGGCAGGACAGTGACAATCACTTTGTATAGTAATTTCAGAGGCAAGTAGATTATCTTAAGCAGTCAGTCAATGATCCTCAATTCTGTTCATAAAAAGCTATCTAACACAGCAGAGAGAGATACATAGATAAGTGAATGAAGACCTGCGTACACATATCCTAATACATATATGGGTTCTCTGGGTCTTTGTCATTTTGCAACTGGGTCTACTTTCCATTTGTGGTTTTTTCATGTTTCTTAATGAAAGAGACTTAATTTTGCATTGTTTTCTTTTCTTCTTTGGGAGAGGAAAGAAGACATATTTCTGTATATTTTTCATTTCATATTGAATGGTAAGAGAATTTTGATTTTCAAAGACAGGTATACAAGAAAAAATAGAAATTAAAGAGGGAAAGGAGCTTGAAAATTTAATTGCAGTGTTCTGCAGAAATTGTTGTGCTCTAGGTTTTCAACCAAAATTTACTCCTAGACATCCGAAGTCCACAGAATTCTTTTCAAATATGTAAAATTACTTTTTCTTAAAATGCTTAAAAATGCTAATGAGCTTTAAGGGTTGTCAACTTTTGTGTATCTAGAGATCCCTGAAACTATCTGAATTTAAATAAAATACATGAAGTAGTTAAGTGAAAATGTGTCAAGTTGTAAAAATTTGTAATTCATGAGAATACTTTTAAGAAATGAGTTATGAATATAGATGGATAAAAATATCACTACATGATAAATAAAACCTTTGGTATCAATATCAGAAAACAAAGAGTGAATAACAGAATTTTAAATATGCTCTGCAATTCTTCTTCCCTTTCTTTCACATAAATGATGCATTTACAAAAGAGGACAAGTAAATGTTAAAAAAAAAACCCAACCAAACAAAAAACCCATGCTACATTAGGTGACTTTACAGTAGAATTTGCTATTTCAATCTTGGTACATACTGTGAATACTAGGATAAAATAATCTGTTCAGCACAGTGAAGTTTGAGTACTTATTCTTTCACTGGAGTGACAACTGTTGCATGCAAAGGATAAAAGGAAAGATTTCCCACCCACACCTCCCTCAGGTGATACATGAGGAGATGGAGAGAGTAACAGGACAGACAGAAAAGCAGATATCTAATTAATTTTTGGTCTGTTTGACAAACACTGATTTCCCTCAAGTGCATGTTTTGAGGACTGAAGCTCCTCTCATCCCAGCAGCAGTGGCAAAACTGAGCCAAGGCACAGGAGATCCCTCCAACTTCAGCTGTGCAGTCCTTCCCGAAGGTTAATGCAAAGACTCCTACATGCATGTGTGCAGTGGTTACAGAATCCTCATGGCTTTATTACCCTTGAGGCCTCCTTTTTGTATGTCAGTGTACTAACTTGCAGCCATATGATGAAAATTAAATAAGGGTTTGTTGCATTTGTTGAAATATTTGTGGAAATACAAAGTCAGTTGCTTCAGTTTCAACGGGATTTCCCTCCTTCCTTTCCCCCCACTGCCTTTTTTTTTTTAAACATTTACATTTTTATGAAATGCCAAGAAAAGGACACATTTGTGACAGGCAAAAGGGCAGGGGATACCCCCCATTCCTCCATAGCCCTCTGCCAATTTCGCCTCCAACCCCCACTACATATTTCCTCGTTAATTGTGCTGGTGCAGAGAGGTGGGGGTGAGGGAATAAAAGCATTCCTTCATGTCTGGAGGAAAGAAAATAGATAAAGGGGGAAAGTAAAAGGGGAGGGGAAGAGTGGCCAGGGACTTGAACCGCCAGTGAAATGATGCTTCTCCAGCCCTCCTGTTCAGATAATAGTTAACTGGGGTTAAAGATTAATAGCCAGGCAAAGCGCTGTATAAATGGCCCGAGTGAGCCGAATGTATGCAAAGTGCCTCCTGGTCCCCAGGCCGCCGAGCTGCCCTCCCGCGCTCCCTCCTCAGCAGCATGGGTCGCCCGCGGTCTGTGCTGCGCCGCTCCTGGCTGCCGGCCCTGCTCTGCCGGCGCTGCTGGGTCCCCGCCTGGCCCCCGGGCAGCCCGTGCGCTGCGCCCCGTGCAGCCCGGACAGGATCGCGCTCTGCCCGCCCGTCGCGTCCGACTGCCCAGAGGCGGCCCGGCAACCCGGCTGCGGTTTGCTGCCAGACCTGCGCCCTCGGGCCGGGACAGCCCTGCGGGGTCTACACGGCCCGCTGCCGGCTGGGGCTCCGCTGCCACGTCCCCGCCGGGAGCCCCGGCCCCTCTCCGCCCTCATCCGGGCACGGGACGTGCCTGCCCGCCAGCGAGGTCGGAGCGATGCGCACGCAGAGCCAGCAGGTACCGCGTCCCACGTCCCCGCTCCGCTCCGCGCCAGGGAACGCGCCGGGCCGGTCGCTGCCGGCGCCCGCGCCGGGGCAGCCGGGGGGTTCAGCGGGCGCGATGCCCCGGAGCCGGCGACGGCGCTGCGGGCGCCGGGAGCCAGGAACAATGAGCGAAGTAAAGCAGGCATCTGAAAAATAGGGAAGCTTGAGTGCATCTTCCGGGGAAACGTGCTCTGACCGGTTCGAGGCGAAGCCAAGAGATGTTCCTAACAAGCTGTTACGCTACTGGCTGCGAGCACGAAAACCCTAAAGTGTAGTGATGGCACAATGCAGAATAATCTCCCAGGTTTCTGGGAAGCTGTAGACAGTTTTTCTTTAGTAGTGAACAGTAAATACAGTAGGACAAATGTTTTCTAGGCTTTGTTTATGTCCATCTCCAGACTAAACAAGCTTGGTGCCTGACTTCATTTCATGAACAAAATGTATCTGGAGTAGTGTAGTGCTAGCCAAACTATCCTCAAGAAAAAAGGCATCTCAAGCATCCTGAGCATATGATGCTCAGGAATTTCTCATTATTTTTCAATTTATTATGATTATTATTTTCATCATCATTAATCCTATGTTCACAAAGTGGTGATTAAGGTAACTCAGTAGCATTACAAAAATAATCGTCATTGATTCAAAAAAATTAGTGGAAGTAAGTGGAACTTCTCTTTTACTTGACAGGGTAGGGAGGACAGGAAACAGTAACTAAACTTTAGTTTAAGCCACATGCATTCAATTTAATTTTATCCTTCCTTCCTCCCTCCCTCCCTTTCTCCCTTCTTCCCTTCCTCCTTCTCCCTCTTCAATTTCCCACCTCCATCTTTTCTTAAACATTGTCAAAGGGTATTTTTTTAGTCCATTGTCTGTTTATAGCCTTGATCCAACGAGTTATTTAGACACATAAAAATTTTGTCCTATGGTGAGTCCCCTGCAAAGAGCTTCTGTTGCTTTAAGTGGGAGAGTTCACGAATGCTGATTTAGGTACTAGCATACAGTCTACGATTAGGCTTCTGACAATCCCTGGCTATTTTATTCACCACAGGCCACCATGAGCTATTGCTGGCTCCTGGGAATTGCTACTCCTTCTTGTATGTGAGGCAAGAAACGGAACAAGGTACAGGTTACTATTGGATGAGGTCTGGACCAGTTCCCCTCATGAATAAAAACAAACACATCACACTGACAAACATCTAAATTCATTAGAAGTTTAACTTCAGTCTTTCCTCATTTAGCCAAGTCTCTACAACCCGCTGTGGTCAAGAAGGTTTTTCTGTTTCTAGCAGACTGGCTGCTGTTCATCTTTGGGATTCACATAATTTCAAAGGATAATAAAATAACTGCCTTGTTAGAGAATAGCTGATGAGTCCTTCTATGAACTTATGACCAAAGTTTAATTTGCCATTTATTATTCCTACAAGATCTACTGCAAAGGATCTGTCTTAGATATTACTTTTTTTTTTTTTGGTTGATTCTTCTTCTTGTTCTTCACCTTTTTAACTGTGAGAAATTAATGCGAAAGTTCACTGAAGATGTTTACCTTAATATCATTCATTTCCAGACCCTGTCGAACCTGATGATATGCCTTTGGAAAGCACTGAAATAACACAGGATCAGCTGCTGAACTATCAGTTAATGTTTCCCATGGGCCAGGATAAGTCCATTCCCTGGAATGCCATCACTGCATATGAGAACATGAAAGCAAAGAGAATATCTGAACTCAAGACATGGAAAGAGCAGGTGAGTTTTCTTTGAAACCTTTCAGAGACCATTTCAGTAGATGCTGTTTATTCAGCATACAAAATGAAAATGTGCATGAAATTCTAGCAGTAACTCTGAGATGTCAGTATTTTGGGAAGCTGTCAAACAGACTTTTGGAATATCTTCATCAGATGCTTGAGGAACAGGCAAAATGGCAAAATAGAGTGATAATAACTGGCATGCATCAGATATGTCCTACACAGACTGTGCAGAGGCTGAACTTTTCACTGCATTTACTATCAGATGGCCTCTTAATTTACATGAACCCATATTAAAATCTGGGATTCCTTTTATGCTTTAGTTTTTTAAAAAAGGCATTTTTCACTGGTCCAACACACAGTGAAATAAAAAGGAGTCCTTCCACATAGTTATTGACAAAACACCAATGCAAACCAAAATGTGTCTTTCTATGTCAATTACATGAACGTAGAAAGACAAAAAGCTCAACAATTAAAGTATGCTTAGACACTGCAAAATCTCAGTAGGTAGTGGGGGGGGGGGGACACTTTTGCAAGCATGTTTGTGTTCCACTTGAGGGCAGCAGAGAACCACGGTTAGACCCGTCCCCAGCAGCAGCACCCCTGCCTTACGGAGCGGAGTTGGTCGGACACCACAGAAGCCCAGGTTCGTAATGGTCACTGACAAAGTGGAAAAGAAAAAGCAAAAACCTACTAATCATCACCCTACCGTGGGAAGCCTCATTTCCATATCCAGAACAGGACTTAATCACTGATCTAATTTGAACTGTTATGTACGTGTGCTGTTAGCTCCAGTTCTGAACTTTAGGGCTTCTGCTTTTCTCACCCAGAGTCACAGATAAACCGGTTGACTGGAATAGGACAGCTTGTATGAGGGGCTGACACGGGGAGGTTTTGTAAAAGCAGAGGCTATGTTTATTTTTACTCTAAAGTACAAATATTTGTTCAGCCACTTCTCCTCTCCTTACAGTGATTTAAACATATTAGGTACTGTTGATGCACAGCAATTGTGACTTCAAAAAAGAGAGCCAGCAAAATGTGAAAATAATTAATATTGCAAACAGTTCTTCATCCTCAGTTCCAGGCACTTTGGGTTTTGGTCCCAGAGCTACAGGATGGCTCCATGTTGCTTTGGCAACAGTTCTGTCCTGTACAAAAGATAACAAACATTCAAATGTTTGTTCTTGTACCGTCTATATATGTCTTGTACCTATTCTCCATATATCAACAGAGCACAGGGCCATGGCAACCCCAAAAACGTGGCAAGTCTCACGTACCAGTTTCTTAACATGCACGTCCCCATAATAGGAGAGATTGTACCCTCTGAGCAGTAATGTGTTTACTTAGTACAGGTTAAATTTCCTTGTGTGGCAATTTAAGGATTAAAATCCTTAAAGAAAATACCTCAAAGCATAAAAACAAAGGTCTAAATGCAAGACCAGAGTTTTCTGGCTGTGCTCCTCCTAAAACAAGGAAAATTATATACAAAACAGTCTGGTACAGATTATATGCCTAATTTTCAGCTTTTTGCTAGCTTTATTTTGATCACTTTTTGTTTAGCTGATTTCTTTGTGATTTTGGTATTTACAACCTGTGCCTGGTATTCTTGCAGGGTCCTTGCCAGAAGGAGCTCTACAGAGCCCTGTATAGATTGGCGAAGGCTCAGCAGAGAAGTGGAGGGGAGATTTACAAATTCTATTTGCCCAACTGCAACAAGAATGGATTTTACCACAGCAAACAGGTGCGTGCCTTTTTTCCCCTATCTGCTCACAGCAGCGCTGAGACTAGCCTGATACAGCCAACCCTTTCACATCTGCTCCCAAACTCCCACGTTTGCAGCTGCTGGACAAGCAGGTTGTGAAAACAGGGATATTTTGTAGTGGGAGCAGATGGTTTGTTCTTCTCTTTAAAGTGAGCCACATGCTGGAAGCTGACAGCAATGGAGGTAGGAGTCTTTTCCATTCACAGAACAGGTGCACTCAAAACCTTCTCTAAAATATTTTAACCCTATCTGCTCCCAGGACAAATCAAGCTCCATGTGCCTGATTTGTTAGCATAGTTCCAGTTGATATTAATTCATTATATCCACCATATTACCTGCCAAAGCCTGTTGAATATATAATAATCAGTATGTAAAGGGGAGTCTCAGCTCCCAGGCAATGGAAACTCACGTAGGCAGTGAAAAACTCTTTGGAGCAAAATTAACCTTGTAAAGCAGAAAAAATTGATTTGTGCTGCCTGTGGACTAGCTTATTTGCTCATTTCCATTATACTATCAAAAAAAGCCACTGCAAGTTAAAGTGAGAGTAATCTGCAAACCCAACTAAAGCTCCAAACTTCAAGCCACGCTTTGTAACCACAGTTCATCCACACAAATTTAGTAGGTCTGCATAAATCTGTGTTGCCGAGACTCCTTGTTTTGGGGTATGTGACTCACAAACACTGTGACCTTGGGATCTAATCAAGCACAAACAGAAATCTGTTTAATGCCCTCCCTAAGAAAAAAAACAACCCACACCACCTTGCATTAAGAGCCAGACCATTCAGCCACTGCTCTCACCCTACCAGCTTGTAAATTCTGCCATCCTTCCATTTCTCATGCTGGAAGATACTGCTGTTTTCTACTACTGTTTGCTAAGGAATGGGCAGTTTTAAATCTGAAGTTGCTCTTGTGGTAGCTGAGCTCGAGTCTTGGTTCCCTAGCCAAGTGTGTTGTTCAAGAGGCTCTGCGGACCACTGCATTCAAAACAAGTCTGTCCATGGCAGGTCCCCACCTTCTGATCCTAGTTCTGTCCAGCACCTCTACTTGCAGTGTCTCACAGATAATCTTCTGCTTACAGTTACTTACTGTGATTTTTGTTTTGCTAATAACATTCTAGTGTGAAACTTTACTGGATGGAGAGTCTGCTGAATGCTGGTGTGTCTATCCAAAAAGTGGCAAAAGAATTCCTGAATCTCCAGAAATTAAAGGAGACCCAGAATGCCAACAGTATCTCAACTCACAAGAATAAAACCAAGTTTTCTGGGGGCCTGTTCTAGTCAGGAGGTGTTTCAGTCAGGAGCCATTTCACTAATGTAGTTCTGTGCACCTGATTTTCAATGTATGAGTAATGCCATAAAGTAACATTTTTACTGCACTGAGATTGCCTAGATGCTCAAGTGACAAATATGAGCAACTGCAAGATCAAATTCTATAATCTTGTATATTTTGTTCTTATAATATTATAGATATCCTCATATGTAAAGCTGTTGAATTATTTATTTCACAGTACATGTATTTTTGTCTCTATGTGTTGTTACTAATTTATATTCTCAAACATGATATGTAACATTCTTCATAACTCGATATGTAAATACTTAATATTATTGCTCTTAAATGTATACAATGTATGTTGGAGGAATGTTGCTACTTAACACTTCAAATGGTATACTATTGGGAAAATTGCTTGTAAACTTGCATTTTTTGTACTACGTATTTATAGTGTCAAACTGAATTTTAAAAAATAAACTTCAGTAGAGAGCATGCTTAGAAACTTACTTAAAACCTGTTTTGCATATATATCATGTTACTTTTGCACCTCTGTTTCAATGTCAAGCTGTTTCTTAAAAAAGAAAGTCTTAACCTTAATTACATACTGAAGCTCCTGATGGGACGGTATTTGTATCTATTCTTCAAATATATGCACTGGATAAATGGCAAAACACAAGAGGATATTCTGCACCACCTTTGACAGGTGTAAGTCATTCACATGTTGACAATGTCATGTTATTTAAGATGAACTATTAAATAACGTCTTCTACTTTGTCCCTGTCTCTTGTTTTCTGCATGGTCCCATTCAACAGTCTGACCTCAGCAGGAAAACAGACAAAACTCTTGCAAATCTGCCTCCTGAATGTCGATCTCCTTTCTTGAAATGAGTTTTCTTCTTTTGCTCTCCTTGCCCCATTCCCCTTCTCCTGCCCTCTCCAATCCCAACTGCGTTCTGCAAGCCCTGGGCGAAATTTCAGCCTCCAAGGGAAGTTATTAAAAGGCTTTCTGGATAGGAAAGCTGAATGTCTTCATTCACTCAAAAGCCCAAGGCAGCAGCATTAGTGTATTTAAAAGATAACATCAAGACTAGAAAGAGTCATTTCCTGCACAGAAAGTCAGAGGTTGTAAAAGGGAGGCTGGGGAAAAACTCTTTTTGCTGAAAGCAGAGAAGAGGGTCCCCTTGGCTTGGGATATGGTCCCTTTCCCTTCCCCATGTTACTTCGACTGAGTAGTTGCAGAGAAAAAGAGAATGTAAGTAACTGCCATGCCAGCTTCAGGTTGAGTTTGTCCACGAAAAACCTGGTGTGGGAGTTAGCAAGTCCCAGAGGTGAAAATAGGCTGCACCAACCCTTCCTAGGAAAACAGCCTGAGAGGAGAGTGATAACATTTTCTAAGAGCTGGCAGGAGTGAAACTCAGCATAAAATCCTCCCGCCATTTATTGGCACAAGATTTGGAGTTTAAATGGGAGAGGGAAGCAGCTTGTAGAAACTTCAAAGCCAAAGCGTGGAGATCTCTGCTCTCCCGATCATGTTTCTGTGGCATTGTATGTTGCGCCTGCTGAACGTGTTGGCTGTATGTGCATGCCAATGTCAGCTGATCCAACTGGGGTGTATTAAACTGCTCCAAATTTAAAAGTATGGGTATACTACTGACCTTCTTTGTGGAGTCTTTTGAGATCTTTCCAAGGAAAGCATGTAAAAGCAGTTGTCGGCATTGGTATAAGTAACTAATGCCTAACCTCCCTGTAATGAGCTCCTGCGAGACCCGGTTACAACTATGTTACAGCATGGCATTCACTGTGTCAAAATGCTTGGCAATCACTGTATCAAAATAATGAAGCAGCAAATTTGGACAGAATTTTGTAGTCTTTTCATGGAGTCTACTCAGCACTGAACAACTGTTGTGTGGCATTGCCAAGGGAAAATGGTGAAGAAAGGCAGGGAATTCATAAACTCACAGCTACAGGACTTAAGAGCACTCTGACTCCTCTCACCCCACAGACCTTTATGTAAAGGTTGATATCTAAAGAGCAGAAATTAGTTCTTTTTGTTGGGGTCTTTATATATATATAGGGGAAAGGTTCATAATGTTAATAATGTTTAATAGTCTATTTGTGGTATAGTAATCTAGTGGACAGCTACTTATGGTGTTTTGCAGGGTGACAGGTTCCCATCCTAGCTGCAAGAAATTAGTTTTTAACAGGGAGAGGGATTTAGACAAACTCTTTCCTTTAATTGTTAAATACCAGAAACAGAAGTTACTTCATACACCAGGCATGACAGATCAGTTTCTCAGAGGAGCTTAGTCCCTTACCTCCTACTGAAAGTAGCAGGGAAGGGGTGCTTCCTTATCTACAGTCTGGCCTCATGTGACATCTTGCCAGGACTCACCAGGACAGACGTCTGCTGAGCTTTTCTGGAGCGGGCTGTCTGACTTGGGCCAGACTCTTCCATATACTGGGATTAGGACTAATGCAAGGAGGCAAAGCAGGCAAATTTTATATCCTCTATCACAGTGCTGCCAGGAGCTTGGACCATAGATGATGTCATGATTTGTCCTAATTTTTATGATCAACCTCAATGATCAGGGTGAAAAATCGAAGGTCTGCAGTTTTCCTGGTTTACTGTTCATAGGGCAGTTTGGTTTTCCTTTTTTTTTTTTGGCATGTGTCAGCCAGCAGTCCTGGCTTCAATGTGTGGCTGTTGCAAAGGTGTCCCTCCTGCACTGGCAAGATAAGCCTGAGGGGAATGAGCGGGCAAACAAGAAAGGCAAGAAAGGTGCTACAGGACTCTCTTAGCAGCTCAGGTCACCTGGCATGCAGCTGGATGTATAAAGGGGATGTACTGTTCCTCATTAATTTAGCTCCTCCCTTCATATCTGCTTGCACTTCTACTCTACCTAAAAAAAAAAATAGTTGGTGGGAAGGTCTTCAGTGAATATCTGTAATGTTTGGTTCATGTTATCTGAGAACCCTACCCACCCAGTTTGTGCTTCTTCCTGCCAAAGCCCTGCCAGGTTAGCTGCAGCAGGGTTTGTTCCAGCCATGCCTCCTCCTGCCCATGGCTTACTGCCAGCTGCAAAACGCTCATAGCACAGAAGTGAGGTCACTGCCCTCTGCACTACATTTTCTACTCTCCATTTCCCCCTGACGCTGTCCAAGACAACCTAAAATCACCTGATAGTGGGCCCTGCTCATACTGAGTCAATTCTGCTTATCACTTTGGTGTACAGCAGAGACACATTTGTGTCAGCTAGAGCTGGTAGAAGGTGAGGGAAGAGAAAGGAGGAGAGAAAGAAAATGGTGGTGAAGGCTCTAACACTGAAGGCTCGTCACCATCCCTGTCACTTCTCTACCATAAGAATACATACTTTGAAAAGACAAAACTTAGTCAGGGAACACTTTCTACCGACCCAGTCCAAAGTGCAATTAGATATTGAGCACATGAAGATTTAGCCTTTTCCTTTACAAAACAAACATATTCCTTCAATCTTGCACTTGCTAATGAGTCTTAAACACAGACCAAAATAAAAATGCAAATAGAAAAAATGCATTACATATAGCTTGCTTTCCTCAGAGAAGAAAAGCAGGATGATAAAGAATGGTACACGCCAGAGGCTTGTCACAGGATTTAGTGCATTCCTGGAAAGCACTCAGCTCCCAGAGAACTAGATATTACATTGGATCCCAAACAAAATGCTAAAACAGAGCAGTTTTCTTCTGCAAAGTCAGAACAAAAGATGTTTGTGCTTTACTAGCAGTCTAGCAGCATCAACTTTTTAGATTTATAAATGCTATTTTTTATACCCATGTCATTGCTTTGCTATCGCAAAATAACGCTGATGTCTAATCCCTGCCCAACCCATAATAATAATAGTAAAAAATCTCTGTTTAAAAAAAAAGAACCAAGTGACTCATTTCAAGCGAGACTTTTAGCCCATGCTGCATATTGAGCAGTCAAGTCCTATGCCTGTTTTTACACACCACTTTTTAGGTTGGTCTACTTTTCCTCAGCTATCACTCCACTGATAAAACACTAGCCTAAACAGTCTCCCAGGCTGCACTGACAACAGATGCATGTGTCTATTGACACATTTTGCATTTAGGGTTGTTGTACATTGCATCAAGAATTGGGTAGGTATTTAGACTGCACAGGAAAGTAGGGTATGAGCAACTTAATAAACACCTAATTGTGTTTAGCACATTTGACATTCTAACAATTGGGTAGACAGTATATATTGAGTAACAGTACCAGAGTTGGTGCAAGTGGAAGGCTTCTCTTACTGAAATGCCACCCTGTATTATCTAGTCACACTAAGGTAAAGGTGGGAGGGGAGGAGAGGATCTGCTAGGAGTACAGCCAGTTCATTCTGTATTACCGAAAAGTACCAAAAACAACAGCAGTGGAGCAGGAGCCCAGACACACCAGCACTTGTACTCTGAGTAATGAAAACATCTCTGACAATAGCTCTCTCAACAAACTATGGCTTTATTTTATTTTCCCTCCTTTCCTCCTCTCTTGACCCATCTCCTCCCTCAGGGTTCATCTGCAAGTAAGCTACTGTGAAGGTTCAGGGAGAGGGGCAGCCTCCTGCAGAAGAGGTGTGGGAGTAAGGGTGCTTGTCATGGATATTGAAGTAAGTTCAAACAAACGAATGTAAATTTAGTCAGTTCCGCATCTTGGCTGTTTAATTTTGAAAAGTTTCTGCTCATCTTTTCATACTCCCTCTTGGATTATCACGTATGAGTGGTAGCATGGGCAGCACAGCCAAGACAAGGCACACAGGGGAAGGCAGGGCTGTGCACATGCTTGGCTCCTTGCCACTTCCTTACCAACCACATTTCCCATCAGGGACAGTGCCTGACCAACAGACTTCCCTTTTCCAGCAGAGCCTCCCTCCTGTTGTTTTGCCATGCAGAACACAGCATGGGCAGTCGTCCTTCTGCTCTCAGTCTCCTTCAACTGCTCTTAAGCTAACAAAGAGCAGCCTATTTGTGCCTACACTGAGGTTTCTAATTCTGCAATTATGCCAAGGGTGACATGATTTTTTTTCTCTCTCACTGATGGTGCTTTGTAGTTCACCAGGTTGATGCGTAGATGCTTAGTGTGGGATGTCTCTGGATGCATAGAGAAAATGCTGGCTGTGTCATCATCTTCTTTCATATTTTCATATCTGCGTTTTACCTGCAGCTTCTGTTTATTGCTGCTTTGGCAACTGAGCCCTCACCATTTAGCTTCAGCAAGGGAATAGAAAAAAAGATCAGCAACACGTAGGGGTAACATAGCAACTCTATGGCAGGATCTGAGGGTTGAAGACTGCTTTCAGCACCCACGTAATAAAACAGTAATCAGCTTTCCAAGCTCAGTCAGTTAGGTCTTTTTTACTGGGTGCAAGTTACACGATAGCTAGCAGACAAAGGAAACAAGTCTTTACCTTGAATAGTCTCTGTATGACATAAGCAGGTAAAAATAACCTCTTCCCTCCAGTTGCAAGAAATGAGGGAAATGCACTCTCAGCTTGGCTCTCATAAGCAAGTCACTCCACTACCTCACTTTTGAAAGGTCTTACCACACATGGCTGTGGGAAGCAGTCCTTCTCAATGACATTTTCTTTAGATTTTTTTTCCAGGATAACAGATTTTTCTGGAGGAAATCTCAGCTTCTCTCTGCAGCAATAATTTTGCTGCTTTTCTTTCCATACCCACTAATGGAGAGAGCAGTGGGGTGAAATTAGCCATGACAGAGAAAGGCTCTTAAGGAATTTAGATAGGTCAGCAGAAGTGGAGAGTCAGGATACACAGAGCAGCAGGACATGCATTCTGCAAGGATAAACTGAGATTTGCAGTATTATCCTCTGCTCCTGCTAATACTTGGTCTCTATTTTTTTTCAGCTGCAACTTTCTGCCCTGAAGTCATTTGCATTTTTTAATATATGTACAGGATAAAAGCAGAAGCAAAGCTTTTTCAATGGGATTTTCTCTAAGGCTGGTATACACCAGCTTCTACATCTGCAAAATCTGAACTGGAAGCAGTAATACCTAAAATGAGGAGTTTTAAAACTAAATGGTCTTCTAGTGAAAAAAAATTTGCACTACTTTGCCATTTTACCAGGAAATTTCCTTTCTGGCAGAAAAAGGGGTAACATTTTCTCAATCAATGCATTGTATAATGTAGACAATCTCATGTACTGGGACAAACTCGGGACACCAAGCTGGTACATCCTGACTGGTTCATAGGATCAAAGGATGGTTGAGGTTGGAAGGGATCTCTGGAGGGGACCTGGTCCATCCCACCCTGCTCAACCAGGGAACAGTTGCCTAGGACTATGTCCAGATGGCTTTTGAGTACCTCCAGGGATGGAGACTCCAAAATCAAATGGTTAAATACATTCCAGTTATAAGAAGATACCCAGATCCATGGGATATATCAAAAGACTTCTCTTCTAATGGCCTTAAACAAAACCAATGTTCCATGCTTGCAGATGAAGCCATTACTGATACTAACCACAAAAAAACTTGCCCTTGGAATACTGTGATATCTTTTTGGATCTTATTTTTGGATATCTCAGAAAAAAAAAAGTCACAGTTTGGGAAGAAACAGGAGTCAGTCTTTTCTAATATAGGAAGCAAGCATATTATTCTGATCAAAATTAATAGAAGTGAAGGGTTTCTAAAGGCACAGCAGGACCATGCAGAAAACAGCTACCTATATAAACATTTCATTTGGAATACTAATATGCTTTGGCATACACAAAAATTGCTCAGTACCTTCCAAACTTTAAATATAATTCCTATTGCTAGGATGTGAAATCTCTGTGGAGCCATCCTTGCTTACAGTAACTAGATACACAAAAATGATTTCCCAAAAGGTTTCAAAAACCATTGCTTAAATTTAGGGCTCAGTTCAACAAGGAATTATGCTGTGTTAAGTTTTCTATTGAATTTAGTAATAAAAAGTTCAGACTGTACTAAAAATGAATTAATTATGTGGTTTTGGTATTCATTGAAGCCTCCTTCCCTAGTACACAAATAGCTAACACTATGACCTAAAGGGTGTGTATGTCAAAAAGGTGGAAAAGAATATTCTGGGCTCCAAAAACTATAGCATAGAACATCTATTAAAAAAAAGAGAACTTCTTCAAATAATTTTTAAGATAATAGTGCTGCCTGCAGCCAGCTTTAACTTGCATTACAGTCAATGGTCAATTACAGGGATTTATGCAGCTATTTATTACACTTGTTAAAATAAATACTTACCACATCAATCTGGGCTACATATGGTACCCATGCAACATACCAAATATGCTCAAAAAGAAATCAGCAAGTTTTGCAGTACATACTTGGAGCTTTTGTAGTGCCCTGCCAGGCAAATATTTGAGGTGTAAATAATGTTTGCAGTTAAAAGGATTTTTCTGAGACTTCTTAATATTAACCCAGATCACGTGAGATTCTTGAAAGAGCTTACTAAAAACTAGAAAAAAGCTGTTCAATAATAAAATATACCACCTGAACTGAAGGCAGTGAAGGCACCAAGATAAGAGGTATTTTTCTAATGCATTGGTTCCATTTCTGTCATGAAACCCAAAGTTCTCCCCTCACTGTAGCTCTTAGCAGGAATCATTTCTAACCTGTGCATGGAGGGAACTCATCTTCCTCTGAACTGATACTGACCCATGTATTTGCTTCAGGCTGCCTACATTCTGCTGTTTGGATGTAGATCACAAATATATTTGTTTGAATTGCAGCCTGGCTCCCTTAGCCATAAGAAAAATCTTCAAATGACAAGTACTCTTGTCTATTGAATTGAATGCTTGTCTTCATAGAACTAGGAATGTTAAAAAAAAATAAAAAAGGAAAAAGTCACCACTGATTCTCTTAATCTTAAAAAGTTAAATTTTTGGGGGGGATAATAATGTCATTTTGCATTGAATACCAATTTCATACCATTTCATACCAATGTTAACTGATAGGAACATCAGATTGGCAATGGCAAGTATCCAATACTAGTGCAAGCAACTGTGTTTGTAAAATATATTTAAAAGGCAACTTCTGAAAAGAAGGAAGCTTTAAATTAAAGGTGAGAAATTTTTGGGGGGGGGGCTATTTTTACACACAATTTTTATTTTAAAGACATCTGTTGGAAGCAAAATAAAACTGACTCGCACAACCATGCAATTCTTTAATTTTTTCCCCCCTTGTGGCTGTATGTTTCCTCTGTTACATACTAAAGACCATTAGAAGGCGCTGACCTAAATCAGCTGAATGCCATTTCTTAAATAATTCATGCGACAGATTGCTTGCTTGAATCAGTTTGAGTTCCTTGAGATGGTTTCCTTGGGTCTTTTATAAAAAAATATCACTTAAGGACCTTTACTAGTCAGCTTCTTCTGTATTTCATGGAATCATAGAATCAGGTGGGTTGGAAGGGACCTCCAAGATCATCAGGTCCAACCCTTGACCCACTACCGCCATGGTTACTAGACCATGGCACTAAGTGCCACATTCAGTCGCTTTTTAAAAATCTCCAGGGATGGAGAATCCACCACTTCCCTGGCCAGCCCATTCCAATGTCTGACCACCCTCTCCATAAAGAAATTCTTTCTAATATCTAACCTAAACCTCCCCTGGCACAACTTGAGACCATGCCCTCTTGTCTTGAACCATTTGTTTTAAATGGCAGGGAAAAACATAAAAAGCTTAAATACTTGACAAAATACCCAAATCAGAAATCTTGTTCACAGGTTGCTAAAACATTCTTGCATACTTGCAAAATGTGGCTTGCAATGGCCACTTTTGATAAGAAACTGACTTCTGTTTTCAGAAGGCTCACCAGATAGCAATTAAAAAAAACAGGCAAAATATTCACTTTGATTAACTCAATTCTTATTTTTCTATCTATGATTATGCTCAAATATTGGTGTAAATATAACTTTCTTCTCTCTGTGAAATTACTTGAAAGGAATTGGTTTACAAATTTAAAAAAAAAAAAAAAAAAGGCCCAGCACTTATTATTTTGCCAACAAATCTCTGCAGGTATTACACTTGCTTCAGCAACAAAAATATTGCAACAAATCTTCACCTTACAACACTTTATGTAATCATCTGTCGGGAAATCTGTATTAGCCTGCAGTAAGCATCACTTCATGTATATTTTTTTCTTACTCTGAGGTTATAAAATTTCAGTTTTATCATGATGTGAACTCATTTAATTAGACAGAAATTGGAAAGATGTGCAGAATGCACATAGGGTTGTTCAGCTAATACATTAATAGTAAGGCTTTAAACATCTGACTTATAGTGCTTGGCTGCCTCAGTCCTGGTGAACTGCAAAACCAAATCTTTCCCTGTCAGAGCTTCAAGACATTTGCCACTGCTGGCAGGAAAAAGGATGGTTGTAATTCATGCAGTGGGTAAGGAATGAGCTCCTTGGCCCCATGGTCTCTCTTCCGTCACACAACCCCTGACCCATCAGCGTGAAACCCACTGTCCTCAGTCTTCATAGAGTTCCCAACTCAACAAGAAATTACAGAGTTGATGGCTTCTTTTTTCTACAGTGACATCAAACATTTATAGTGACACATATAAGAATATATATTTATATAATTTGTAAAAGTATTAAATCATTTATATAAAATATATAAATAAATACATATACAAAATATGGCATTACTTTCCAGAGATGTTACATTTCACAGTCTACCTTTCATTATCCAGATTTCATTGTCATACAGAATTTTCCACAAAGTTCAGTAAACAATCAGCCTCAAAAAAATAATGTTGCCAAAGCCTTCCTTATGTGAAAGCATCACATACCACAACAAAACCAAATAATTTCTCTTCCAATTAAAAAGACACATAACACCATGGAAAACAGCTAGTTTAAATATTTAAACTCAATGGTGCTTAGATGCAGGCAAATGATTTCTGCCATAGTCAAATCAAGCAACAATTGTGTGTAGCATAAACGAAGTGTCTCAACACCCAGGGCCCACAATCCCCCCGTTTTGTCAGCATTGTTTTGAAACAGGAGTTCCTCGTACAGAGTATGTGCTTTGGTAGAATGTACCAAGACAACACCTTTTCAAAATAAATAAGCAAATAAAAAGGCTGGTACTGTGATGGCAATTTTTTTGTCCATGAATATTCTGTATTAGTGTGAGCAGGAAATGAAGGAAATGTAAGCCCTGTTGCACAAACTGAAGCAAAGAACAGAAGAAAGCTTTACCAAGAGCTTCAGTGCAACAGTTATCCTTTTCCAGTGGCATAATTCAGTGATGGTCACATTAGAAAATAACAATTAGAAATAACAATAAAATAATTTTTAAAAGTTATTTTAGTATTTGTAGTTATATCAAATACACAAAATCTCAAACTCTTCTGGAAACACTTCCTTTGCTCCACAAATTAATTTCTATTATCTAGAACAGGTCAGTTGTATGTATATGGATTAAAACATATTTGTAAGTCATTCCATACCCTTGCTTTCTCTTTGCATACAGAAGTATACACTAGAATTACCATGTAATATTTGGTATTCACATGTTACATTTAAATAAAGTTTATTAAAAAACAATTATATTAAATACAGACTAACAGAATATTCATAATATATTTTACAGAAAAAATAGCCATGTCTTTATTCTAGAAATACATTTCTTTAAAAAGTTCTTTGAGATTTTTATAAAACTTTTTACCCGTGAAGACAAGTTTCCCATCAGACCTGTAAAAAACGCCTTACCTTTAAATCCTTGTAAGTTTTTGTTTGTTTGTTTGTTTTGTGGATCTTTTTTCTTTAATACTTCTACAAGCTTAAAATCTATAAATTCTTTAAAATAAAGTAAAAAAACCAACAGTATCTTTTAGGATCAAATTGGTCACAGGCCCTTCTTAAAAAAGTAAGTGGAGACTCCCTGAATCCATTCTGAAGTGCCTTTTGTTTTTCTCTCTCTGGGTATCAATAGTGCACGTTTACATGAGATTTCAGAGCTCCTACATGTCCTATAGGAAGCTCAACACATGTTGGTGGCAGGGTGCAGCTGCAGCAGCATCTGCGGAGGCTGCAACTCTCCATCTGCTGCAGAAGCAGAGCTTGGTACTCCACATGCAATGCAGTCCACAGTGTTTGCCCAGCCCCCCCAAGGCCTCTGTGAGGTCCAGCGGCCACGCCCAGATGCCAAAAGAGCTGGCACCCAGTCCTCATTTGCTTTCCAAGTTATAGCAGTGGACATCTCCTTTTCCCTTCCCATCATACCCGGGAAGTGGCTGTCCGTATTTATCCACGCACCAGCAATAACCTCTTTTTCGGCCTTTGGACGGGCGGCACTGAAACAGAATAAAAGACTTGGTTTGCATGATTTAGGTTTTCTCTGCTCTTAGTGTTATACAACAGGGATTCCTGCTCATTTGATAGATGCACTACCATATCCTGACCATATCTGACAGAATCAGAGTATTTGTTACCACTACAAAGTATTTGAATAAAATCAATACCTCTGGGTCTAACTGCTCCATAATAAAACTGCACTGAGGACTACAAAAAAAAAGCCTTATGAAGTAATCCCTGTTATATTTGGCAGCACAGTTGCCCCCTTTGAATACCAGGACTACTTACTACAGTACAGGCTAATGACTGGGACCCATCTTTGGAAAAGAAAGTTAACAGATATGTTCTACACTAAAGCACAGGTCTGGAAAAGACAACCATTGCAGCAATAAACACTCCTGGCTTGCATCTGTTTGCTTGAGGAAATTCAAAACTGTAGCTGATGTTTATTAACAGATATACAATCCTTCTGTAATGGAATTATCACTCCAACAACTGCTAGGTGTACTAGAACTTTACATGTATATTTTCCTATAAATAAGGTTGCATATCTACTAGTGTATAATCCATGACAGCTTTAAGTTAACTGGCGGCATTACAACAATGTTGACTAACCTGAAACTACCACAGGCAATGACACTGAACCTCTTTAGAAGCAGTAGAAACGCATTATAAAGTGTACTACGTACTCAGTAAGTAATGTCCCTCCAAGAAACTAAGAATGGTAAAAACTAGACTAAAGGAGATAACATGCTACAGGTTGCATTCAGTATGCAACTCTGGATATAGTTACATACTGCGAACCTCTAGGACCTCATAGGGCTTTTACCCGCTTATAAGATATGTCTCTAGAATCTCACTAGGTTTGCAATGATCAGCCTCACTGTCAAGACACAGCCCCCATGTCAGCTCACGTTTTGAGATTTGGTGGTACAGGATTTGCTTCAAATGCAAACAAAAGGGGCTCTTTACTCAGGACATACTGACAAAGGACGCAGTGACACAAGCATACCTAGTTTCCTGAGGTTTTGTCTGTTGCATTGCCAATATGAAGGAAGATTGGCTAGACTGAAGCTACTTACATCCCTCAACACTGTCAAGTCTATCGGACAAGCAGAGCAAGTGTTGCCTCTAAGATCACATTCATAGCAATTCAGGTTTTTAGAGGTTCAGGCTGGTAAAAGTCAGATAAACTTGGTCACTACCACCCAACTGCTTGTTCTCCAGGGTCTCCAGGAGGGTATGGCAGTGGTTCACAACTCTAAGTGCCTTTTCCACGTTCAGGTACACAAGAACACATCGAGCAAGAGTTGGGCTTCATATGCTGCTCAAAGTGCCTGATCCTTTCCATGTCTAGTTTAGTATCTCAGATGACAGGGTGCTATTTTGGACAGAACTGTGAATATAGATCACTCCAGGGACAGCATGCACCAACACACTGGCCCGTGAGCATGGAGTAGTGCAGGCAGTCTTCACTAGGAACTTGTAAAAGAAGCAGGTCACACATTAGATACAATTTTTTCAGCAAGTTGTTTATTTTAGAGTAAATGAAGTAATGTTAATCACCATAACTGCAAATTAATACACCCTTATGATATATTATTGAGTAACAAGCCCAATGCAGAAATAATATGATGCCCTCCCTTCTGTGAATTTGCAGTCCTTCTACATTAGCCCTGTGAAAATGGACAGGAGCAGGATAACAAGATCCAGCTTAAAGTATATGTTAGTTTAGTTTTAGGAGAGGGTGAAGAGGTTCAAACCTACTGAAAGAACAGCTACATTAATAATTTGCTAAACTAAATTGTTACCTGCATTTCAGTTCTAGTTATCTTTAAGTCTTTAAACATAAGTCTTACTACTTATGTTTACTGTCTCAAAAGCCTGACTAGAGCTTACACATACTCTCCAGGATTTCTATGAATGGCTGCTCCAAGTCCACTGATGTCAAGAGAAATTTTCTTTCTATTTTGATGGCAAGTGGACTGGACTCTGGTTTAAGCAGTATTAACATTTAACAACTTAAATTCTTCATGCTCAAAACAAAGGAATTAATAAAAAACAGTCTTTGTACAATTTAAATTTTACAGAAAAGGAAACTGAGGCAGCACTACTTGAGTTGTTTTTCCCAACAAAGCAGGCACAGATGGAGCCCAAAGAGCATAGGCTTCTGGTTGCCAGCCTGGTGCTCCGGCACTTCTGCTAATACTGATACACTTCTGCTAATAATAGTAACATAGTCTCCCCTTTTAGAATTACTATATGAAGTATGTTACACAACTCTTGCTGATTCATAGGCTTGCATCACTCTCAAAACAAATGATCAATTAAAGTTAACTCATGTTGTTGGAGGCGTTGATTGTTTTTTATAGTTGCACAATCAATTTTCAGAATTAACTGCAAGATGAAGTTAGTCTGCAGAAACACCTTCCCTACTTCTAGTTTGGTTTTTTTTTTACTTCTTCTAGACAACCCATTTGAAAAGCAAACCCCTTGGATCATTTTACAGCTGAAATAACACTCTATGAAGAACCAATTTATCTTTTCCAATCTGTGATTTTGCACTACCCACTCCATCATGCTGTCAATAGTAAAGCACTTCTAATTCAAAAGTGATGCTTTTATCCTAAAACAGCTAGCATGTATTCCCCACAGAATACATAGACAGATCACCTGGAAAAAAAAGTATATCTGCTCTTGTGAATTTTGTACTCCACATACATTTCAAGGCTCTGCCCAGCTCTTCTGTATGACTTCATAACTTCAAAAACCTGGAAAACTACCCAAGTGGTGGAGACTAATTACTTCTGATAGAAACACCAGCTGCCAGCTTCCATGCCACCTGCCCCTCTCCTTTCCATAAAGAAGTGCCGCAGAGGCATTTGCAGGGCACAGCAAAGCATATGGTATCCCATTAAATTCCTGGTCAACCCAGTGGTCTCCATGAAGCTGCAACTGTGGTCTTCAGGAACAGACTGCAGACAGTATTGACATATACCTCAGGCCATTTTGGCTCCTGCCAAGCCCAGCTCTGTTTTCAGTGGGACACTGCCAGCTCACATTTAGGTGAGTATCTGGCTGCAGTACACAAACATGGGGCAATTCTAGTAATTGCCCCATATAATAGTTCTAATTTCATCAAATCCTTTTTTGCCATGCTTGAGGCAGGAACATGCCTGTATCAACCTATTCCACATAAATATACCTATATACCACAGTTGAATAGTACAACCTTACATGCATGATTTAATAAGATGAAGAATTCTAAATTTTAATAGGTCTGATCTTAAGGAAGTTTATATATAAACACAAGGTGTGAAATATTTTTCATGTTATACCCTGACAGATAAATTTATGTTCCTAAAATTGTTTCACACATGCAAATGTGTTGTTCTTGAAAAGTTAATTTCTAGATATCCACAAATGTAATGAAAAATAACTGCTTTCAACTTGACTGGAAAGAGCAGGTGACCAGGAAGGCAGAATATGTGAAGTGCATCCTGAATGAGTTTAATAGTGTCCAGTACAATCATAATTTAGCAGGTTCCTACCATCCCACATCTACCACATTCTCATCCTAGACAGCAGTGTTGACAGTTGTTTCCAGAATTCAAAATGCCTACCTTGCACTCATTTTTCATTGGATTTACCATCTATTTCCTAACCTATTATTCTGCATTTTCTTGTGACAATATAATGTAATTCAACTACAGATTGAATGCTGCTAATAATGGCAATGAAGTGAATTAATAAAATAACCTAGCATTCTGTTAATGAGATTAGACACCTGCTCACAGTGTTCAAAATATCAGACCTACATGATGTTTCAAAAGGAAACCAAACAAACACAATTGCCACAACTCCTTGCAGGCAGTTAATTAGGTCTGGACAGGACTCACTTTTCAAATTGATGATTTTTTCTAGGAGTTAATGCTTTGAGGGTAACTACTGTTTGTGGTTTGTATTTTGTTGGTGAGAGAAGCAGGCTACCTCTGTAAGCCTTATCTGTGAAGGCCTGTTCCCAGCACTGATCGAGATTCATTTATGGGATCAACACACCAACCGAATTTCATGTAGAATATTTACTCACATGGACTCTGTTTGTGGGCATGTCCTACTGGATCCCAAGTCATCTCAAACTACCATTGAAACTACTGGACCTGGGTAAATTGGCACAGTGCTTGACAAGGTTGGCCAAGTATGAAAGTGTCCCTTCATCATCTGTGTTTGCTGACCAGACAGGCTGTTGCACAGAGTGGAGGAACCTTTCCTAAAGCAGTTTTGAAAGTCTCTAGGCAGGACAGACACTACACAGAGGGCAGAAGTATGTATTTTCTCTGTACCACTACCTTATTCTCAGCTTCCAGGAACAAAGGCTAGGTAAAATTATTATCTGACTTTCCTATTTTTTAACTTCATATTTCCTTTTTTTCTGCCTTGGTGGAAGAACTATGACTGCACTTCAAAGTACAGTCATCCTCTAAAGTAAGTCACTTTAATATGTGCTTACTGTGGATCTGATTTACTACATACACATGCCAGAGACTGCCTGCAAATCACTACACTTTTGCTAACAAACCAAAAACCTCAGAGTCTGAAGAGAGATGAAAGGAAGATCTACCGAAAAAAAGTAAACAATCTGTGGTCTTCTGTAATACCTGGAGAAGGAAAAGGGCTACAGCACACTTGTATGCCTTGAATGCAATTAACTGATTCTTAGCTGCTCTAGAGCAGCTAAGGAAATGCTTTTATGGCTCTGCATAGCACTTTAAAGCATTTTCTGAAAAAACTCTGATCAAGATGTTGAGTTTTGCTCTCTGCTAGTTTACATGCAGCATGACAAGATTGACACAGGCTTCTCAAAGCTCCAGGCAACAAGAAGAAACTTTCCCTGCTTGGGAGTTGCCATCACCTGCTTGGGAAAAGCTGGGAAGCATAGAAAGCTCAGCAGCATGCACCAAAGGTCAAACAGTGCTGTCAGTGTTGGACTGATGGCAGAAAGGAAGGCTGGAAATCTCACCCCTGTTGCAAATGCTCCACCTGACACTGCCAGCTTAATGCAGAGCTCCAGGGAATACCAGAAAGGGAAAGACTGTTTCTAAGAAAGCTGGAAGCCAAAAAATGGAGAGATACCATTCCTAAAATAAGGTTGCCTGGTTGGAGGTTGGCCTCTCATTTCCAACCAATGAACTGCATTAGCTAGCAACAGAGAGTCAACCCCTCCTTTGGTTACCAGAGATAGAGAGGCTGACTTGTGTAAACCCAAATGGGAGAGACAAGATTGTCCACAAACAAAACTTGTCCTTGAGAAAAGTCTTAAAAGAAACCTTTGAATTCAGGAAATTTTGGAATTATACCAAGAAACATATTTGGAGGTAGGCCACTAACTAAACACTGGAATTAGATGCAATATGCACTTTCCCAAGTTCCTGAATGAGCTTCAAGGACAGCACTGAATGGAGAATGCTGTTGTAGCTCAATCTGACACAACTGAAGCATAAATACCCACAGTTTCAGTCTGCATTTCACAAGAAAGGTCACAACCCCAGAACGAGAAAAGGGCTGAGAAGCCATCCTTGCTGCAGAGTAACTACTAGAAGTATCACTTTCACGATAACATGACTTGGATTTTGGAAGCGATCTGTGTAGCACATAAAGGACAGATATATACCCTTCTCAAGTTGCTTTTTGTAATATGATCCAGTGTAGTTCTTCTAGGAACTCTCAAGCAGCTATTTACAATTCAAAGCATTGATCTATTGCAGTCATATGGTGACTGCAACATTAGCTCTGTGGGTTATTGCAGAGGCACTGCTTTTTTTAAACCAAAGGCCATTAGTATCTAGGACACCAGTCAACCCATGTGTGATTAGGTACAAAGTTTCTCAAATGAACCTGTTGTCATGACCAACAGAAAATAAAAATACTATCCCCACTTGACAAGGTACAGCGCTATCGAGTCAGGTCCTAAAACTGGAAATGAACTAGTTCCTTTATAAAATGATATATAATGCACCTTGATGGTAAGATCTTCCGACAAAGATGTAGAAAAGGTGAAATGCATTCATTGAAATAATCAGAACTCTGTACTTACTTGCTTTTTCTTGTAGAACCCCTTCTTGTCACAATTTGGAATATGAAAGCCCCTTGGACTCAAGACATTCAGGATCTTTAGGTGGTTTAAAGTGTCTTCCATTTCTCTACGACATGGACCCTGTTAACAAGCATATTTGAGAAAACACAGATGAAACTTAATTCCCAAATTCTATCTTTCAGATAAGAGTTAATAAATCTTTAAAGGGCACAAAGCACAAACTCAAGCAAATCCACTAAAACAAAGGGATGGCTGGATGTGTCAAAAGGCAGACCATTCACAGAAAAAAATCTGACTCTCTGCTCTATTCAAGATAAAGCGATTTCTAAACATTGAAAGCCCTATGCTATGCTGAGGCACCTACTGGCATTTCCAGTTGAAATCACAGTCACATATATCCATGGGAAGGCTTAACCAGTATGTCAATCAGTAACATATAACTTAAATTTGGAAAAGTTGGCCTTGCACCAAGTGGGAAAAGAAGAAAGTAGGTCACTGGAAATATACTACTGGGTAGGCCTTCCCTAATGACATTTGATTTTTGTGATTCTGCTGGATTTGAAAGCTTAAATGAAATAGACTGAACTGAAAACAAGTAGTTTGGTATTATGTATATATAAAATTCCTCAACTTTGGACAATGATTCCCAACTTCAACTGAACCAAATGGCTGCAGAAATGCAAAGGACCAGTTGCACACAGTCTCATTAGATAAGTATGTCATTTTTCCTTACTTTCTTTATCTCCAAAAGGCTGACAACAATGTATTGAGGATTAGCTCTTGGACAATGAGCCAAAAAGAGCTTCCAGAAGCACTTTTAAGAGCATGTCTCAAACACCAACTAATTATTTCTCACTGCAGCCCTTTGGGGTAGGGAGTAAAGCGTTATGAGCCCCACTTAGCAGTCAGAAAACCAAGAGCAGAGGAGTTCACATTTTGCCAGAGGCCAAGAAGGCAGTCAGTCTAAGCAGTGGGACTCAAGAATCACAGCCCACAAACTCTGTGCTTAGCTACATTCTGTCTGGGCATATTACTGACTTGGTCCACAAGCCCACTCCCTCAGTGGAAACCCAAAGAAATTTCTTTGCATGGTTTAAAAATGTTTAAGTTGCTGTATTGACACAAAGACTCATTTGGTGCAGTTTTTAATTAGTGAAGTAATGTCATTTATACTTTCAAGTGGTAATATTAATAGTTTGCTCATATAAAGTGCCTTTTATGTGAGTGTCTGAAAGCATACAGACTCCACAGTTCTACTGGAGATCAAAATGGAGTTTTTTGCTTAGTAAAGACCTTCTTTGTTGCTTTCACGTTTTCCTTCTGTACCGATCTCACAGGCTCTAAACACACGCTTTAAATTGCTGCTCTTACTGCTCAAACACACTGACTGCAAATCACATGCATTCAGATTTGGTCCTGAATTGGGACTACAAAAAGATCAACAGCTTTTTTTAAATTATTATTTTCAAGTAAGCTTCCAAAGTCAAACAGACCAGTATCAGAAGCTAATATGCAGATACAGCTAGAAGACCACTTGCTGACAAAGGCATCTTGCCCCTGACAGACTTATTTCACATTTTTACAGACACCAGCAGCATTGGTAAGCTGGTGTACCTTTGCTCATGGGACCCAACCATCAAATACAAAAAATACTTACATACTCAGTCTCTTGTTTGGATTCAGAAGACAAATTCAGTGTATCTGTACTCTGTGAATCATATTCCACTTTATAACGCTGAGTATCTTTGGCTTGCACTTTCCTGATGATATCTATTTTGATGTGTGGTGGATGCAATTTGGAATCTGGCACCCTGTGAGAGTTTGGAACGCCCTGATTTTCTGTGCTGCTGGTACTCTGGTCTTCTTCTGAATCACTGGAATTTCCTTCAAAAAGAACAAATGCAGAAGAAACAATGTTAATCAACTGCCAATTGCATCTGCAAGAGCAGATGAATCATAGGATATCCTGAGCTGGAAGAGACCAACAAGGATCATCAAGTCCAGCTCCTGGCCCCATACACCACAGCGCCAAGAATCACACCTTGTGCATGAGAGCATTGTCTGAATGCTTCTTGAACTCTGGCAGGCTTGGTGCTGTGACCACTTCCCTGGGGAGCCCAACCACCCTCTGGGTTAAGAATCTTTTCCTGATATCCAACTCGAACCTCCCTTGACACAGTTTCATGCCACTCCCTCAGTTCCCATCACTGGTCAGGGCAAGAAGAGCTTGGTGCCTACCTCTCCCCTTCCTCTTGGGAGGAAGCTGTAGACCAGGATGAGGTCTCCCCGCAATTAACGAGCCATTAGATTAGTCTAAATGCTTAATTTTCCTTTTTACAAAATAGCAATATATCAAAAGATGAACAATGTAGCATTCATAGAATAAGCCAGGTTGGAAAGGACCTCTGAGATCATCAAGTCCAACCCTTGATCCACTGCCGCCATGGTTACTAGATCATGGCACTAAGTGCCACATCCAGTCTCATCTTAAAAACCTCCAGGGACAGAGAATCCACCACTTCCCTGGGCAGCCCATTCCAATGCCTGATTACCCTCTCTGTAAAGAATTTCTTTCTAATATCTAACCTAAACCTCCCCTGGTACAGCTTAAGACTATGCCCTCTTGTCTTACTGATAGCATGCATCAGCATCTTTGTTACAGAAGTGATGACTTTTGTAACTGAAGCATCCTGATGCTCAGAGCGGCCTCATGAGGTGCCTCCACCACCCGCGCAGCCTGCACCCAACACCTGGAAAGCAGCCAGCGCCACCGCCCCTCGGCCCTCGCTGCATTCCCGCCCGCCGGCAGCAGGGGGCAGGCCCGCGCCGCCGGAGCCCAGACAGCCTCACCCCAACGGCGCCAGGGCGCGGATCCCTCCCCTCCGCCACTGCTGACTTCAACAATCCCAGCTCAACGCGGCCGGCTCCGGACACTTTTGGGCTGCGGTATGGCTCTGCCTTCCCCAGGGTGGTAATTTTTATTTTTTTTATTTTTTAAGAGACGTTAATTCAATCAACTCTACCGCGCTGAGTTTCCTGGTTCTAATTAGCCACCTCTAACACTTCTCCCCCTCCCCTTAACTTTATTCAACACACAGATCAGGAAAGAAAAAGAACAGCACGCTTTCATTCTTCTGCTATAAAAATCAAAATCATTTCTAGGTGTACAAAACACACTTTAAAGATAATGGAAAAAATGCCATTCATTCTGTAATGGTGTCAAAAGACAAACATTGCTTTCACCTCGAGCTTCAAAAATATTTTCTCTTTACCACTGAGAAGACATCAGGAGAAACACATTTTTCTAACATACTCCATAAGTCCAGTGTTCCTGTCCCTTCTGACATATTTGTCTATGCTGCTTTTTTAAGGAAATCCAATTGGGAACGCACAATAACTGATGTGTTAACATCATGATAGCACCCAATATTAAAATTATATTTGATGATTCACTGAAAAGACACAAAAGCTGAGAAATTCAGTGCTAAACCTGAAAGTCCGCATTCACATAGTTCATTTGACACTAAATATTTCAACACAGGCAGTACAGTGGCACTGCCAATACACAGGAATGGTGGAAGGAACATGAGAGGAAGCGGGATCTGAATTAACATTTTGGTACCAGTGGTTTTAGTGTAGCCACGGCTGGCAATTGACATAATTGACCAGGAAAATCCAAACTGCAGTGCCAATGGATTAAGGAAGTTTAAGTCTTAACTCTCAATTTCCTCGCTTTTGTGGGTTTAACTCAGACTCTCAGTGGTATTTGAACATATTTTTGGTGGTTTAATGTCCTGTTTTGAAACAGTGGTATTTTTTCCCCCACATTCTCAATGAAATTTGCAAGAAATGAGTCAATAAAATGTTATGAACATGAATCTAGGTCTTCTGCGATCAGTTCAGTTTACTAGTTTTCCTCTTCTACCAAAAAATACGTAGAAAATAACGTGCATTGAATATCCATGACCATGGCTGGTCATTTCAGTTTACACAGGCCATCATATTTCAACAGCACTTCTTACACTTCAATTTCAAATGGTCATATTGCCACATTTTAAACTGTAAAGCATATTTGATTAACTCAGTTTCACAAAACTTAGTGCCATGCTAGCTTTACACCCTCATAAGAGAAACAAAACTGCTATGATAGTTACCAACTCTTTTTCTAAAACAGATTAGAAGGGTTGCACGTGCACACTACTACTTAACACTTTCGTGCCCAAAAAAACCAACTGGAAAGTCAGTGGTCCACTACAGTGCTACTGTAATATACTCCACCCTATACCAATTTCCAGCAATTTCGTGAACTAGTAATGACCAACAGTATAGCACATGATGCAGGACCTAGCTGTGTGTAAAGGAGATGATGTGATCCTGCTCAGAGAGGGTGTATACCATGGAGTGTTGTATTCGGAGCTGGGAGTGGAGCAGTACCCACAAGGAGGTGGGCACTACATATCACATAGGTTTGCAATACTTCTCCCTTGTTGCACACTGTGTTTGCAACCTTCACTCCTTAAATGTGAACTGTATGGTCCTACTTTGAGCTTTTTAAGCAATCAAAGCTTCTGCTGATTTCAAAATCGGAGCTCTCCCTCAGCCAAGAATGCAAATTCAGAAATTCAGCTGAAAATGGAAAGATTTTCAGCAAAGTGCAGCTGTTTTCCTTCTCTAATAGTCAGTGTTAAAAGCACTACATTAAACAGCATCAACTCTCAAGTATCAAGAAGATGCCCCCTTGTTTCCAGTGTCACTCCAAGGATAAGTAGGAAGAGCCAAGCTCATGTGATGAAGGAAGCTGCTCCGTGTTCCAAGATTTAAAACTTCAGTGAATACCTCTAAACTCTCATTTAAATTGTCACAGCTTGGGAGCAGCACATAAATAATTATAATAAGGCTTTGCCTATTCTTCCAGAAGCCAGTTAACTGGAGCACTGGTGCTACTGCCTCAGCTAAGGAGAGGATAGTGAAAGAGGCCCTGCAACCTAGCAGAAAATCTCCTGGCTTTTTAAAAATGCAAATAGGAAAAAGCCTTTTGACACACTTTTCTATTAAATAAATGTTCACATACTTGCTGTTGGCTAGCAAACAGTTTAATTAAATGTTTGCATAGAGGGACTGTGCTTTCTTGATCTGAATCCCAAGTTTCCCTGTCTTAAGTTTCCAAATGTGCATGCTAACAGAGCTTTTTCCAACCGTCCCTTTCCCTTCAAACAAAACAAAACCCGCTCAGTGAACGTCTCATTTACAAGACACGGAAGAGGTACGGGAAAGCTTCTTTTGACCAAAGATTTATTTGCAGTGCTGGCAAAAAACAAACGTCCTCTTAAACACTGCTGTGCAAATGCTTTGTTCTGAATAACTACCTTTCCAGGCCAAAGGGATATTTAATTCTTGGGGTTTTTTTTCTTCCCCTTTTTTTCCTCTTTGTGCTTAGATTTCCCTGACTTACCCACGCTGCAGCGCAGGAATTAGAGCCCACTCCCTCGAGTTTTTGCACACCCTCTTTCCAGGAACACTGGGGACAAACTGCGAGGATTTCATCCTCTCTCTCTCTCCATTCAAGCTCTGTAGCCTGGGAGTCCCACGCACCCGCAGAAGCAACATGCAATCCCTCCCCCACTCCCCCCTCCCTTTTTTTTTTTTCTTAGAATAAAAAAAGGCAACTCTGCCTCTTTTGCGAGGAGCTACCTCTCAGCATCGGTATTAAAGAAAAGCTATATATACAAAAATAAGGTGGAAGAAGTAAATTGTCCTTTCCTTCGGTGAAAGCACACCTCCTTCAAAACGATCCCAGACTCGGCTACGTGGCTGCCGGCGGAGCCCCCGGCCCGCGGACCGACAGACGTCGGGCAGCGAGCGAGGGCCCTTTCCGGAGACAGAGCTCCGCGGCGAGCTCTCCCGGGCCTCCCCGCTGCAGGCA